GCACCAGCCCCGGCTCAGAGGGCCGTGCCGGCCAGCAGCTCCAGCGGTTTCAGGGCTGGGAGTGAGAAGCGGCCGCTGCCGGGCCGGGGGCTGTGCCGGAGGTGGGCTCGGAGCACTTCGCCCACCGTGCGGCGAAAGGTCTGACTGACAAAGCAGTAGAGGAAGAAGTTGAGGGTGGTGTTGAGCATGGCCACCATGTTGGCGATGTCCAAGGCCAAGTGCACACGCCAGTCCCTCTTGACAGAGGCCACGTAGAGGTGCCAGATCATGACGATGGTCCGGGGAGCCCAGAGCACGATGAAGACAGTGGTGACGGCCAGGAGGAGGGCTGTGGTCTTGCTCAGGCGGGGTCGGCCGTCCCCTGAGCGCCTCCGCCGCTTCAGCTTGCAGATGATGATGGAGTTGGTGGCCAGGAAGATGCTGCAGGGCAAGAAGTAGATGGTGACGCAGTGCACCCACTTGAGCACCGTGTCCAGGGCGGTGGGGGGGTCGGCGTCACGCCACACGTCCAGCCACCAGTAGAAGGGGATGCCCGTGGCCAGAGCCATGGCAAAGACGGCCGCGATGATCTTGCGGGTGCGCTGTGGGTAGGAGACGGTGCGGTACCGCAGCGGGTGGCACAGGGCCACGTAGCGGTCCACAGTCAGCAGGACAGTGACCCAGATGGAGGCATGGTTGGCCGTGAACTCCAGTACGTTCACGGTGTGGATGAAGGCGCTGGGCACCGCCCGGGCCAGGATGGCTGTCTGCAGGATGAAGCCCACAAAGATGATGAAGACCTGGGTAAGGATGTCGGAGGTGGTCAGGGCCAGCAGGTACCAGTACGATGACTTCTTGGTCTTTGTGGCCAGGCGGGACAGGGCCACAGCAGTCAGGACGTTCACTGGAGGGAGGGGAGGGGAGGGATGCGCAGTGGTGAGACCCTGGGGCTCACAGCCCCCCCCCTCCCGCAGCACCCAGGACCTTGGGGGTGCCCAGGCTCCCCCATGGCCACAGGGCGAGCGGCCCCAGGCCCCGGCTGGGGTGGGCAGCTATAAATATCACGGTGCGGTGGGGATTTGCTGAGCTGATTAATCTCTTCCGTGTGTCAGCCCAAGCAACGCAAATACCATCTGTCCCTGCTGCTGCGGCCCCTGCCACGTGGGGCCGGGCTTTATGCGCACCGCAGCTGGGGCTGATCCCGAGGCCATGGGGAGCAGGATGGTTTCCCCCCACCCTGAAGACTCTTGTCCCTGTCCCCAACAGCCCCAGGGCTGGGACAGAAGCTGAGGCTCTGCTGGCAGCTGAGGGCACAGGCTGGGCTGAGGGTGCAGAGCTCAGGAGAGGCAGG